GAAGAGAGGGCTTCATAACCTCTCTCCACGCAACAATCAATGTCACTCCCAAGATGAGACGCATAGCTGTCTTCAACACCCCTAATTCGTGAAACTTATACGGAACAGTGGCAGGCACGGGTTCATCCCATGTGATACTCGTTTTCGCTACGTGCCAATAAGCCACTTGCAACCCAAGTGTCACCCCCGCAAAGGCAACACTATCATCGAAACAAGGACAATCATCGGCGGGCTCCGGATGAAGACGAACAAGAGCCAGGATCACTAATACCACCAGCGTGATCTGTTTTCCGGAAGCCGAGACTACAAACTCGTCGAAGGCGGCCCCGTAGGCATATTGTATTACTGCAAGCAAGCTTCCTAGCAAGCAGCCAATTATCACATCGAAAAACCCGTGCATACCGCAGTACAGTCGGCCGAACACAATCGAGGTGACATAGAGGTAAGTTATACCTTGTAGAAACACGTTGACGGCAGGACTCAAGGTCGAGTCGGGCATGTTTAGAAGAGCCAGTGCGTATACGGCGACCGAGACGGCATTCGTTGAATGAGTCGAGGGAAACCCATACTCCAACGCAGCAGAACCAGACATGGTAATACGTTGTAGCGGAGGCGATAGCGGGCGTGGGAGGCAAAGCAAGTCTTTGATAAAACCGCTAAAGAAGACACCGGAGGCCAGAAGATTTACCATACTAACCAATTAATACTTTTAGTCAATGTGATCACAGGGCCACAGCGCAGCGCACTTGGAACTGTCTCGGGCCCATGTACATACCCACGCCCTAAGCTTGTATACCCATGCCAGAACAGTATAGGCAAGAAAACCATGAAAAATGTATGCGTTCCGAGATTGGCTGTAAATGCGAAGTAGGAGTCTAGGGCCGGAGTCCGCACCTTCTCCTGCAACCAGGCAAGATATGGCGTTTCATATCGCACCAAGGGGAGAAGTTTCTGTCGTGGCCAGTACCGCCAGGATGGGAGCTGGTTGCGATCTATAATCAGCGCACCGTTAGCATGTTGACGCGCCGAAAGACCATCAGGTTAGATAGGGATCGTGACGCACAATGATTAAGGCTTCTCAGGCCAGCATCTGGTGTGCCATTTGGTCCCTTGTCCATATTGCAGGCGGCCGTTCAAATCAGAGTTGACGCTATCGTTGCGGTCTCCCCATAGATCCCACGGAGGATCTGCTCAGTTCAATGTCTCGACGCCGATGACAATTTCGTGGAGAAAACCATTCGGAAGCACGAAATGTGCAGAATTTTCAGGAATTGTCCCTTGTCCGCTCAATTTCAATCAGGGGGGAGAGAAAGACAACAGCAGATCGATTTTGGATTAGTCGGGGAAATTGTCCCGCGCTATCCAGCGGTTTGGTTCTTGGGCGGTCAATGCGATTTGAATCGCACGGGGGAGAAGTTGAAATTGCTACTAATACAAAGTAGGATGTTCCGTTCGTGCTTAGTCACCCCTAATTGGCCCGATACGAGTACGGAGTGGATAACCCTTTCCTTAGTGAATTTTTCTATCACTCGAAATGAGGCTTTTTATGACAACGGAAGACGGAACATGAAGAACCGCCGAAGGAAATCTGGGTCCGGAGTTCCTACGGATGCTCTCTTTTTGCATTAATCTGAAGAACTCGGTACAGTGTATGCTCAAGTGGATTCAATATCAGAATAATCCAAGGGAACAGGTGTTTTCTTTCCCATTATTGGTCGGCTTATGATCAGTCTTCATGAGCCTCGGTAGATTGAAGCACATAGAAAAAAAAATAAAAATAAAAATAAACTAAAAGTGACAGTCGACAGCAAACCCATGTTCGTCTACGGCCAACTCTCCACTATATATATTTTACTAATCCACACACACAAACACACTCATCCATGTCTTGTCCAACATTTGAGCTACATACATACATCGGGCAGGAATGATTTAACTTGAAAATTAAATGACAATAAGTTAAATGAAGTCGATAGATATTATCCCCGCGGTATTATTCCCACGCGATGGTTGGTTTCTGGGAGATCTTCGATATGGACAGACCATGGTTAACCTCGTGAGTTTTGTTTGTTCGTATTATTATTTCTAGAACCCTCCAAAGAGAATGTCATTGTAGAGACAAAGTCAATATGGACTCAGCCTCTCAAACCAATCAGAGACCAAATGCTGAATTATGTTGGTAGAGGACTGAATTGTTGACGTGGAACTTGGTTCTGATAAGGCAGATCTCCCAAAAGGGAGAACACCATTCAGGTCATGAACCATGATAGATCTCTTCTCAGTGAATGCGAGAGAAACAGAAGTCGCTCGTAGGCCTCACACAATAAATATCGAAATATAACGTGACGAGAGACTTTGATATCCTTTGGTCTCTAGCATACTCCCTCAGGCTACCACGAGTACGTGTCGATCGTCGGGCGAATTCGAGTTGGTTGATACCGTAATGAGCCACACACATCCATACTACCATACTACATTCCAATAAGTGGCAGGGGTGTGGAGACATTGGGTAATTGGGTACATAACGTAAGGTAGGATTGGTTAGAAATTTCTACGACGGTGGCCGTGCATGATTCGTCTCTGTGCCGACAGATGACAGCTGAACGCTTCGCGAGGGGAGGGTCGAAGGATCCAGTGTTTTCCTGTCTCTCAAGCACACAGTTGTCTAGTAGTAGCATACTATTAGACCAAGACCCGCAAGGGTTGATCTAGGCCGAGATATTGGCCAGTGTCTAGATTGCATAATCGGTGATCGCGGGCCAATCGAGACACTAAGCAGAATCAACCTTCGAGATCGGAGCCGCTTTTAGGGCACGGGAGAGTGAGAACAAGGTCACTGATAGGGTCGACCTTGGAAGAAATCCACGAAGATCAAGGTGTTTGGAAGGTGTGGCCCAGACCATAGGCCAGGAATGCCTTGATTTGAGTAATTCAATCAATCGAGTGACGTTGTGCTAAAAAAAGGTTCGATGCGTTGGGTGTGGATTGATTTGATTGATATTGATTTGACTGCGTCATGGCTTGGGTAGGTGGTTGCCATGGCAGCGCTTCGGCCCGTAAACATCGGGTTTCATGTCAGCTGGAGTAGCGGCCACGCCACACCTGCCATTACTTGATCGGACTACCACAACTATCGTGAAACTTGACATCTCTTTCTTTTTTTTTTTTCAGTACCTAGACTGTTGCCCTCGATCTTCGACTTCTTTTTGTTGTTATTTTCTCGCCATCATCTTTCTCAATATCCTTCAGCTTCCTCCCGACCATCATCCTCACATTATCACAGAGCCTATCGACCGCTGGAAACCGAATATTTCCGGAAGACCACTAAACCGGGCAGTGGATCTATCTATACGCAATAGATCAGAAGGGCAGTTCCATTTTTGGCGCCGCTGAACACCACGTTCTTCAAAATCTCCTAATTCAACCCCAGCCCGCTTGCCTCCGCCATCATGTCGAGTCATATGTACGATGACCAGCCTTATGCAGTGTCACGACGTCATTCAGTAAAAACACCTCCTCCTTCATCCACTCCCCGGCACAGCAGAGGGCGCAGCCAGAGCGTCCGAGTGAGCAATGGAACTGCCAGCACAAATACCAGTATCTCAAGCGGGAGGATGTCAGAAGCGACGAATATCACTCAACCACCGGCATATTCGAAAAAGTTCGTTGTGGTGGGAGATGGTGGATGCGGAAAGACATGTCTCTTAATCAGTTACTCGCAAGGGTATTTTCCGGAGGTAAGACTCTTTATTTCCCTTGAATGTTACTGAACAGCCTTTTCCGACCGCCATTCTGACCTGGACTAGAAATACGTTCCGACAGTTTTTGAAAACTACATCACACAAACCGTCCATCGGGCCTCAGGGAAGACGGTCGAACTTGCCCTCTGGGATACTGCAGGCCAGGAAGAGTACGACCGTTTGCGCCCATTATCCTATCCGGAGACTGATTTGCTCTTTGTTTGCTTTGCTATTGATTGCCCCGCCTCTCTAGAGAATGTGATGGATAAGGTATGTCCTCTTGCAATTGTTTATGTGACACATAACACTGACTGTATATAGTGGTATCCCGAAGTCTTGCACTTCTGCCCTACAACTCCGATCATCCTGGTTGGTTTAAAGTCTGATTTGCGCAACAAAAGGACTTGCATTGAACTCCTCAAAACCCAAGGACTGACGCCAGTGACCCCGGAGCAAGGCCAGGCAGTGGCTCGGCGGATGAATGCCTCGTACATTGAATGTAGTAGCAAGGAAATGCGCGGTGTGGATGGGGTGTTCGAAATGGCCGTTGACAGTGTTGTGTCGGCTGAAGAACAGTTTAGCTGGAACAACCGTCAAAGTCATAACACCAGTGGCAAAACTACTGGAGGTGGCGGCGGTCCCAAGAAGGTCAAGAAGCGTACATGCAAGATCTTGTAGATCGCTTTTTTTGTCTCTCGACGTGTCCCATGCCCCCCTCTCTGTTTTTGTTTTATATGCTCCTGTTTTCCGCCGAAAGAAGCCTGGTTGCTTCGGCGGTTTGCTTCTCCTTGTACGTGATATGAATTGGATGCGACCTGGAGAGGATGACCCACGCGGTACAGCCCATTATGTGCTTTTCTAAATGTTTTGTTAACGGCGGACTTTTGATTTTACATCTTCATGTTGCTATACCTGTTTTGCCTTGATGATTGTCTCCATGAAACGCTATTACCCTTCCTTCATGTCCACTATTATTTGTCTGTGACCACCTTGATTTTTTCAAATTGGCATGTTTTCCTCATGATGTCTGTCACGAATCCGGTCCGAGGACCACTATGTCATATGCATGGGGTGGGTGTTTATTGGCGCTGAATCTCCCATGTCACTGAATATAAAAACACTGTGAACCCCGAAAGATGTTTCTGTCTTGTAGATTGATAATATACCATTTAGAAATAGAGTGTAACAGTACACCCCCCGAATTTGAACACCAATACACCAAGCCATGCACCGAACATATTCTGGATCATCTCTCATATCTTAACCGTCTAACTCGCTCCTCTCATCGGCGAGATCGTGCTCATGCAGCTCGCTCTGGTCTTCACGAGGCTCCTCTTTCTCCTTCACACCACTTTCCGCCTTCTCCTCTGGTCGCCCCATAAAGTTCTCAAATTGAGACCAGAGAGCCTCAACGGAGCTAAACTCATTACCCACCTATGCAGTTGGACTTAGCCAGTTATATGTATATGGAAGCCGGAAGATAGAACTTACTGCAACAATACTTTCTAGATTTCGGTTCAATCGGTTGATGTTTTGCAGAACTTGTTCCATTCCCTGCGCAGATCGGTCAATTCAGGTATGCTCTTTCGATGCTAAAAGCACTGTGCGCTGTCCGAGATTATATAACCTACCACGGCGATTTCTCTCACCAGTTCCCCCCGCTGCTGTTCGAACACAGTGGGGGTGGACGATCTGGATTTCGAACCTGGTGTCATGGACATTCTTGTGTGGTGGACAGATTTGTGATAGTTTACGGGTGTAGGGATCAAGGTGAAAGCGCAAGGAGAAAGACTTGACTGCAGATCCTCTCAGTTATATTGTTTCGGGATTATTCGCACTCTCAATGCACGTTATCAACTCACGCATCGCCAACCATCCTGTGGCGCATGAATTATTGTGGGACTGGAACATGGTTCTCCTGATTGGGCATGGTGCAAACAAAAGCGCGTCTTTTCTGCCGCTTGTTCGGTGACCGCTCTATACCCCGCCTTTTTACTTGTCATCATCTACAACACCTAGTTGCTAGTCTGTACTAGATCTAGCATAACTCACATGGATTGTATACTTATTGTGAGCGATGCTTTTGTGCTCTGAACTGCGGCTGCAGTGCTAAAGGATTGCATATTACCAACTTCTTAGATTCTCTCTTTGCTAGTATGCTATGCAGCTTACAGATTGAAACTATCGGGTACCAAGTCTGGCGCCCTGACTCCGGTGTAACATAGACCTTGTAGGCGAGGGACAAAGGGAACCCCTGGACAGGTTTTAAAAGTAGACTGTCATCCTCCTATGTTGTATGGTAGACTCTTGGTGCAAGGCCTCTAACGGATTTCGCTACCTGTGCTGTCAATATCCCATTTTTATACAACGAGCGCGATGGCCCTCCCCATTGGAAACGCACAGCTCCTCCAGGCAGAAATCGATGAAACTGATCTTAGTTTCTTCCGACTTTCAGCCCATGGAAATATTAAATATCCTACCATTGAGGGCAACATTTTCTCAACCATTGATATGGCTTTCGGCCCATCTCTAAGATCTCTACTGCCAGAGTTTCCACCTGGCGATTGGAATGATGGGCTAATTGCCAAAGACAAGAGCACCGGGAAGCCATATTTTGCACGCGCCGTCCGGAACACATTTCCGGGTGTCAAAAACCAATGGCACGAGTACTCGGTCGACTATTCAGATATTAAAGCGGGAAAGAGGCTTCGGACTGGCATCTACGAGGCTCGATGTCCGGGATTTGACACCGTTGTTGTCGTCAAATTCGCTCGCTTCTACTGGGAGATTCGATACATGGAAAGCGAGACAACAGCATACGAGTGGATAAAGGGCCACAACCTTGGCCCACGATTTCTGGGTCACCTGGTCGAAGATGGTCGCGTAATCGGGTTCCTGATGGAGCGAATTTTCAATGCTCGACATGCAGTTTTAGATGATCTCGAGGCTTGCTGGGATACATTGTCGCGGTTGCATGCCCTGGGTATCCGACATGGGGACACTAATCGATTTAATTTCTTGATGACCGACTCGAGGGCTGTTTTGATCGACTACAATACAGCTCAAAAGTGTGACGATCACGATGTGCTTTGCGAGGAGCTTGACGGTCTTGCTGAATCGCTTGCAAGTCCATCCCATCGAGGCAATGGAGGTTTGCTCTGAGTGGGATATGAGATCATATAATTTGTTATTATTCGAGAGCCTCGCGTATATGATATTCATGTATCTTGGTGGTATGAGGCCTTGGCTCGCTGTAATCAGCATCCACTATATACGTTGGAGATGTATCTCATTACATTGTTTGAGCTAGGCTGCTTTCAGAAAACGTGCATCTACCTGGCAGCTACTAGTACTGTTATCAGTACTGCTATCATACTAGTAGTACTCTACTTCAAGATACGACCAATGCCAAATGAAACTATGGCCGCCGTGACCAGCATTATCATATGTGCTTTCGTCCTTCACCCCCTCAGAAACCCCTGCCCAGGTAAGTATACATTCTTACAAGGATCGCCTGGGTGGCTTCGTTGAATGGAGACAATAAAGTGATACTTATGCACGCGAAGACCCACGTTAATTAAGGGAAGCGGGGCGACGCTCTGCATTGATTGCATGATTTACGCCATGACATGGAGAGCTCTCTTTTCGCTGCATTGGAAAGTTTTGCTGCCCGCTTGAATATCACAGTGCACTTAGACAGAGCAGGGGGGAAAAGGATGGAAACCAACCTCTTGACTATGATACACGATTCTTGTCGAGTGCATCAGGGCGAAAATGGTAACTGGCCGTCCAGGTTATCCATCCCAAGGAAGCGGGATTTGTTATGCGAACACAACATTGTGTGTAGCAATGAATCAGCGTTTAAGAGTGGTGCTCGAAATTCTTGGCTGGTTGAAAGGATACAGCGACGATGTTACGTGACTAGGCGGCGTGTACAGATCAGGATGCAAGCCCTTACCCTTACCGCTTACGCTATACTCCATTTCTACAGGGATTTGTTCAAAAGTACGCATCGATTGCTAACAACTAAGCTGGGGTTTCCTCCAAAAATTGAAGCTCTGCTAATAGGTACAGAGGCAACAGTGGGCGCTATCGGGATATTACGCAAGCAACAGCCTCAGCAAGTTGATTGTAAAAGGTCTGGTATTGCCTGTTATCGATGTTGTTATAGTCTACTAGGGGGACTGGGATGCTGTGGGCACTCTTTGAGCCTTGTGCATGATCAACGTACGTTTCGGTGACGGCACGCCCCGTCTCCCACGGACGCATTGAACCAGGCAATAAAAGAGCATATCCGCCTTCCATGACTAGGGAATGAAGCTCGCTTCTTCTGTTAGTCTCTTCTAAATTCTTGCTGTGAAGCTAGGCTATATTTTGCGATAATGGCTATCCACGACAACCCACAGTCCACAGAACTTACTTCCACCCCCCCCCCCCGCAATCGCCATTTCATGAATACGTTGAGGCAGATGATGTGAGTACCTACTCGATGCCTGTTGTAAGCCGTACAGCTCTTCAACGTTACCCACAGGTATCGTTTGATGTGGGAGACCTATCTTATGAGGAGGAATGGTGAGTCCAAAGCCAACAGTTAGGCAAGTTGATGTTAAATATTGAGCGGAATAGTTCGAGTTTCACAACAAGCCTAAGTTCGAGCGTCTTCGCGTACAAATTTGAGCATGGCCGCCGCTACCACGCGTACAGAGATGAGGGTGAGTTGCCGAAGAAGCCAACGTTTACTAGGTTCAGTCTTAGCATCATCTAACCATAGACTGCTGGGATGTCGGTAGATTACTATCTCCCGAACGATGATGTACGTTGTGCTTCACACTGTGTAGCAGCAAAGCAGGAAACTACTCACGTAGATCAAACAGGAAGAGAAAGACCGCCTCGATCTATTTCACCATATTCTAACTCTTAGTTGCAACAACAAACTCCACCTTGCACCGATTAGCCCTAATGTCGAACTGATTCTGGATTTAGGAACTGGCACCGGGATTTGGGCTATAGACATGGGTATACTTGCTCTCTGGGTATCCCTTTCATAGATCTGTGCTAAACTAAACTCGTTTAGGGGATACATATCCTTCAGCAAAGGTGCGATCGACCTGGTAAGCCTAGATTAGGATTGAGCACCTCTGAGCTTATTGTGCGTAGATTTTGGGCAACGATCTTAGCCCTATACAGCCTACCTTGTATGTGAGATTGTGCCATACATAACTATGATACATCTAAACTGACTGGATAGCTTACAGGGTTCCCCCTAATGTGAGATTCGAAGTGGATGATGTAGAGAATGATTGGGTTTACCGCACAGAATTCGACTATATACACGCTCGCTACTTTGCTGGAGCGATCAAGGACTGGCCGAACCTATTACGCCAAGTATTCAAGTACGAGATGCGCATTTCTTTGGTTACATGTCTACATGCCTATACGGACACTGACGCGGCGATAGGTTCAATAAACCAGGAGGCTGGGTGGAATTCCAAGACTTCGAAATGCAATTCTACATGACGAACGGGGAATTCAAGACCGGCTGTCCGTTAGATAAGTGGTGTTCTGAAAGCATTGAAGGCCTACGCTCTGTTGGACTGGAACCTTCTCCTGGCCCTAAATTACAACAGTGGTTCAAGGATGTCGGATTTGTCAATGTGCAACAGAAGGTAGTGCCCGTGCCGGTGGGTGTCTGGCCAAAGGACAAAAGACTGGTATGCCTTCCGATGTCTCCTTTGACAACGAACAACTTTTGGAGCTTTTTCACTGATAGTTGTTTGTAACAGAAAACTGTGGGCGCGCTTAATTACCACCAATTCAATGACGGGCTGGATGGCATGTCGCTACGAATATTCACCGCCATGAAAGGCTGGCAGCCGGAAGAGCTACGGGAATTTCTGGCTAATGTGAGGAAGGATCTTAGATACCCTCGACTACAAGCGCAGCATAATTTGTAAGTACAGCGACTTGTGAATTTGTGAATCTTTGTCTGACCTTGGCCTTAGTTATGTGGTGTATGGACAGAAACCAGAATGATTTCGCCATCACCGCCTCCACAACGGAGAAAAAGAAAATATATGGACTGAATGAACAAACCAACGGAGCTGCACCGGTGTACCTCTTGTCAAGATTTCTTGGCTTCAAGTGTTGTGAGGTCTTTGCAGAGCAAGAATGCCACTGATATTGGCCACTTTCTAATACTCTAGATGCAACTCCTATTGCATACGGATAATACGAAAAGTATCTGGAATAGAACTTTACAACCTCGGTGTCAGATAGTCCGGCTCAGAATTAGCAAGCTGCAGAACTCCGGGTTCCCCCACAATGCCACTCTCTTGACTACGTAGAATGGTATCCGTTTACCCCACTTCAGGTCCGGAATGTGGAGAAAAGCTGGAGACTGAATGACGCTGTACTGGGCCGGCCCCAGGCAGAAGAAGTGTAGATCAACGCTCGGGTTTTCCGAGTATGACGATCACCATCTCGGTGTTGCGTTTGCCGACCCATTCTGGGCTATTCATAACCTAAACGCTTAGCTATGATGAAAGATATTCACTTAGGGGGGTCGTTCTCTCCCATTTCGCACTATCGGGGTGTAGCTCAGGACCTCAACAATGCAAACACGCCTTCTTTGTTTGGCAGCTCTGCTGCTCTCACAGTATGGGCTGGCGGCCGACGACCAAGTAGGAGCGAAGATTGACTATGGCACATTCGAGAATCCCGCCGCTAGAGTTCGTCCTCGCTTTCGTTATTGGCTCCCAGATGCCAGTGTAGATCCAGCTATTGTGCAAAAGAATATCAAAGATGCCGGTGTCAATGGTGCTGGAGGCGTGGAGTTTCTTCCCTACTTTGACTATGGTAATACTGTACCAGGAGCGGATTGGGTAACCTATGGATTTGGGACGCCTGCATTCGTCAATATCTTCAAAGCTGCCCTCCAGGCTCATAAAGATGCGGGGTTGGTGATGGACTTCCCTTTGGGACCGAATCAGGGACAAGGCGTACCAGCGAGTCTCGATGATGAAGGACTCCAGTGGGACTTAGTAGGTACTCGCGTTACAATGCATGGTTATAATGTGTCCTGACATGCGCACACTTAGTCTACCGCGTCGGTCGCCGTTCCTCTGAATGGCTCATTTCGTGGACAGCTCCCTGGCTGGGGCACCGGGGAGCTGGTAGCACTCGTTTCAGCTCAAGTGTTATCGAGTCGAAATATCTCGAATCCTACAAATAGCTTGATTCCTGGCAGTGAAGTTCAGCCCAGCGCTGTGCAGTATGTGTTAAGGAATTCAACCTTGCAGGAGTGGTCACAGAACGTTACGTCCACAGGAGAGCTGAACTTGGGTTTTCCTAAGACAGGCGGCCAGGGGTATAGGCTATTTGCCTTCTACCAACACCGGACGTTACATCAAAATGTACCGAGTACTTCTAACATGTCGGAGACAATTTTTAACGGTGGATCATACGCCGTTGACCATTTCAGTGCGAGGGGTGCGGAAACTGTTACTCGATTCTGGGATGAGTATATCCTTGATGATGAGGTCAAACAGATGCTCGTTGCAGTTGGTAATTATGGTAAGTTAATTATGCCTAGAACACAAGGAAGTGATAAGGCTAACTGTGCGCAGGCTGGGAGGATAGCATGGAGATCAAGTCAAATGTGTCCTGGACGCCGGACCTTCCTAACATCTTCCAGAAAAAGCATGGCTACAACATCAAAAAATATCTTCCACTTATAGTTTACAAGAATAACAACATTGGTATACAATCGACCGCCCCTGGTACTATCCAGTGTCTGTTAGATACTCCCGATCAGGGCATTGGGTATGTCAACGACTATCGGTCTGCGTTAGGGGAAGGGTACCGAGCATACTTGCAGGGGTTGACACAATGGGTGAATGGCATGAATCTCCAATACTCTTCCCAAGTGGGCTACAACCTCAATCTCGATGTACTGGCAAATGTTCCAGATGTGAATGCGCCGGAATGCGAGAGTCTGGCATTCAGTGACAGCATCGATGGATATCGCCAATTCGTTGGACCCGCAACGCTCACCGGCAAACGTGTCATCTCCAATGAAATGGGTGCAGCCCTCGAAAAGGCATACCAGCATCCAGTTACAGCGCTTTTGTGGGAGATTGCTCGGGCTGTTGCTGGAGGCGTCAACCAGTTCATCCTCCACGGACAGACATTCTCGGGAAACTATGTCGGTACAACGTGGCCGGGTAATACACCATTCCACTTTCTTTTCTCCGAATTGTACTCCGAAAAGCAGCCTTCTTGGAACCACGGCTTCTCGGAGGCATTGAATTATGTGGCCCGATTGCAGTATACACAGCAGAAGGGACAGCCTAAAGTCGATGTAGTTATCTATAACAAGGACTCGGCTACTGATGCACAGTTCGGGACGATTTATAACGAGACCGATCTGATTGAGGAAGGTAAGTTAGCTATTTTGATACTGAATGAGTAATGAGCTTCTCATGCTGACATTGTGTAGGTTTCACATACCTCTATCTCTCGCCAGATAATTTTGCTTTGCCGCAGGCTCGTGTTGAAAACAGCACCCTTGCTCCTGATGGTCCCGGATTCCGTGCAATGATTATTCCCAGTTCGAGTAACCTCACAATCGATGCAGTGAGAGATATCAAAAATTTCGCTCGTAACGGGTTGCCTGTCATCCTGTCCGGTGGGCTACCAAATGCGTTCTACACAGGGGACGGAAATACAGACAGTCTCGTGAAGGAGATATCTTCCTTGAAAGAAGTGCAAAACGTCCACATTGTATCTCCTGGTCAGGCATCCAAAAAGCTACAATCGCTAGGCGTTGTGCCGCGGGTACAGGTGCAAACTAATGGCACATGGTATTCTACATGGCACTCTGATGCTGGTGGGGTCGACTATCTTTTCGTCTTGGGCGATACAGTGGATACCGTTGGTAGTGTAAGTGTTGCCACGGTAAAGCGACCATATGTCTTCGATCCTTGGACTGGGAGCCGAACCCCCGTGCTTGAATATCAACAAAAGTCTGGCCGAACTGTGGTGCCCCTTCGCCTGGCTGCAAATCAAACGGCTATCATTGGCTTCAGCGGCACGTCCAGCAACACTTCATCATATGCTACTCAGGTACCATCCTCAGTGATTGGCTATAATTACGGCGGCCAAACAAACAAGGTCCAACTGCACGTCTCATCCGGTTCAGCCGACCAGACCCTGAGCCTATCCAACGGGAAAACCATATCCCAACTAACGACCAAGGATCCAGCCCCAGCATACCAGCTCACCAACTGGAATCTAACTGTCGAGCACTGGGAGCGCCCAGGGAATCTATCCGACGCATCAATAATCGCAGTCAAGCACAACACAACCCACGAGCTCACCTCACTCATCTCCTGGCAAGAAATCCCCAGTATCGCCAACGCCTCCGGGGTTGGCTACTACACCACTACCATACCCTGGCCCCCAACAACCAAAACAGCAGATGGTGCCTACCTATTCCTCCCGCAGACCGCAAATGCAGCTCGTGTCTACGTGAATGGCCACAGACTCCCAGCCTTTGATTTCCAGGCGCCGAAGCTTGACCTCAGTGCCTATCTTGTCTCCGGGAAGAATGAATTGACTGTAGAGGTACCGTCGACCATGTGGAATTACCTTCGGACTATGTTGGATGAGCTTTACTCGGCTGGTTCATTACCCCAGCTGGAGGGGTCGGGCCCCGATCCGGTTGATAATGGCTTAATTGGGGTGGCGAAGGTTGTACCTTTTGTTAGTGTTAGTGTCAATCTGTCTTGATGAGATTGTGGTACTGCCTTGGATGGTTGAAAGTATATGCTTCGGTTTCATTGTTCTTTTTCTCGATAAGCCTCACAATCCGCCAAGTCGGAAGTTTCCTAGCGTTCGTCATTAATTTTGTACGGGTGTATCGAATGATCTATGGGGGCTCTAATCCCGATGGGACATAGTTGTACTCTCTTGAATCGAATGTAAATTAATGTGGTTCTTATGAGTGTGATGTACAAGTTCTGGGGATAGTCATGAGGTGTTCCTGCCTCAGGCGCAAAGTGCTATGACCATTCACTTCACAAAGATCTGCGCCTTCCTCTTCTGAGCCATTGCCATCCTCTTCCATTGTTCCTCTCCATTCGCCTCATGTCGTCGGTATGCATGGAGTCTGTATTGTTCCGGTGGATACATGTATCATTCCAATAGAGTGTATCACTAACCTGCCCGATATCCCGCCAGAGGTCTCACGTATGCGACGAAGAATGCCATCAATTTAAGAGCAAGCCTGTCTCAATCGACTTCAAACGGGATTGGCCAGAAAAGAGGCTGAGAGAACTACCAACTGTCCCATTGCAGTCCAAGATTTTGACAACAAGAAGCTACGTACAAAGGCCATGTCGTTGTTCGATTGACGACGATCCACACAATAAACGCACCCCTATGCGATTATACACCCATGCGCTTGCTCCGGTTTCAATCAGGTACGGGATTTCGTAAGCAGCAACTGAGCACTTTTGGCATTCAGCAGTCTAGCGACAGTGAGCCCACGATACCGTGTCTACCTTGGACGCCGTTGTGCCATGGCGGGGGGTGTTGATCCGGGCGTGCCTAAGCCATGGACTGTGAGAGATGTGAGTCAGGCTGTTTTCGACTATAAAAGCGAACAGTACATTTAATATACATACAGATAGTTTGCGTATCAGTCATTGGCCCGTTAATGCTGGCAGCCTTTGTGGAGTGGTTTCTCTTTCTCGCTGCATTCTTATATTGCCTCGTAAAGGTGTACCAGAAAGCCGAGCATTGGAGTATCAAGGTCCTTTCTGTGACAATGATGATAACATTCACCTCATTGAGGTAAGTTGAGGCATCAAGAACACTGCGAGGAACTATCGGTGACCAAAGTATACTGATCAGTACAGAGGGGTTTTCCTCCCTATTATGGTTGTCACCCTCCCTTTACCGTCTCAGCTCACTCAGAACTTCCCTCCTGAGCTCGTGTCCTTCCTCCAGTGGTTCGCATTTTGGACATTCTC